TGTCACGTTACACTAAACATGCTGTAAAGCTCAATATACTGCACATACTGTGCTTTAAATAAAGAGCCATAAAACATTCATTTTGAGGTTTTTGTTATTTATAAAAATCATTCAAATAATCATCTCCTACAAGGTAAATGTGATATTTGTAAATGTATTGGGAGAACAATTAATAATTTAATAAACCTCTTATGAAACTGATTTAGCTAGGTCATGTATTTCATTACTCCACCTAATAAATTTATTCAGATACATTTTATGGGTCATCACTTTTATAAAAGCCACTTCATCACACAGCATAACATCACGTATGTGCTGGAGCCGTGCGTCAGAGAAACCGTGTGGCGTAGACACGAAGGTGGGCTGTGTTATCCACAGCGGTGTTTGTAGTTGTGATTTCATTGTAGTGGCGCACAACTTGACAGAGAAATAATGATTTGATGCAGAGACACGCAGGGTCTCGAACACTCTCGAATGTGTGTGCATGCATGGCAGGCAGCGTGAACGACACAAGGAACAGAAATATGAGATGGAGGGAGGAGGGAAATATGAACAAACAGTGTTTTTTAAAATGGGTTCGCTGGAGACGAGGTTACAGTGACATTTTGTGCAGATGCACAACGATTAATGAAACTGAAATTAATTTGTGATTAATCGCGTATTTGTTCAGATACGTTGTGATAACATGAGACTGTCCTATAAAAAACACTTACATTACATCCCATAGTTACATTTTACTGTTGGACAACCTGTAGCAGGTGCAGGGATTATGACGGGAGGAGGGAGGAAGCGACGCGACGCAGTGTAAAGAGCGACAAAGTCCACATGGGGGGGGGCTCTCATTGTTTGTTTTAACCGTCACCGTTCCACTACCTTAACTACATATTTATTATTGTAACCATGACGACAAAGGCTGTTCAACCAGGAGGAGGTACTTGAACCTAAAGCACTTTTCCTAAACCTAACCAGGTTGTTTTTGTGCCTAAACTTTAACTTCATGTTCATCGTAACGACAAAGGTCCGGCTACTTCAGAAGACACTCCGAAGGGTCCAATCAGAGTGAAGGTACAAGCGACGTATGTGGTCGTTCAGGCTGGAGGAGTGGTTGGGCACATGTTGCCAGACACTGGGTTAATGTGAGACTGCAGAATGAACAGTTCTTCTTCTTTCTTATTGTGCCACAAAAAGCTCACTTTAAAAGGAGCAGTGTGTAAAATTTAGTGGGTTTATTGACTGATGATGATAACACTCAAGTTATTAAAAAAGTTACAGGCCTCCAACTCAGTACCTCTGGACTGTCAGGGAGTGCTTCATAGGTTTGGTGGTTTGAAGACCACGTAGAACATCATACACACAGCGTCCCGGTGTCTCTTCATCCAAGCAGTAGTTTTCTCTTCACTAACACCAACATGATTGAACTGCTGGTTTCATGCAGGATGAACTAAAACTTATTAAAACTTGAGACTAACACACATTCCCAAAGTGAAACATAAAGTCGTCATGTTGATGTCGTGCAAACACGTGTTTCCTTTCTCCAATCACAGTACATCTTTCACTTCAGGTATTAGATCACGTAGTAGTACCAGTAGTAGTATCAGTTTTAATTTTACACTCTCATGTATCAATTGACTCCAAACAATGTGAGCACAGAGTGAGCTAATATAACAGAGAGGTCTAATTATTCAAAATGTGTTTTAGAAACATCTGTGCTATCCTCAAAAACCGATGCTCTGTTCAGCAGGTCTGCACTGCTCTGGTTACCTTGCTGAATCTGTAATGCATCATTCAGGTCATATGGGTGTTGTGGTCTATGATTCAGCTCTGTGACTGTGAGCAACTTGGAGGTTTCAACCCAGGGCTGCGATCCAAACAAACAGATAATGAAAGAGAAAAAACAGGCACACCGTTTACGACTGATGCATTAGTTGGTAAAATATCACAAATCTGCAAATTCGTCTGCAAGTTTAATTTTTAACAAAATAGCAATAATAACTATAGTTGCAAAAAAAAAATGACAATGCAGCTCGTCTGCAGAGTCCCAGATGATGGGAGAGCTGCCGTTATGTTGAAATGCAGTTTGGCTCTCAGATCAATGAGGAGAGGAGGGCAGGGTCTGAACGGAGCGACTGCAGACTGAGCTTTTTATCTGTGTGTACTGGCGGCGAGGCCGCCACACATCAGTAAAATGCTATGGCATCTCCCTTGGCAACCTGTTTCTGACCATTCAAACCACGGGGCATTTCCCACTGATGTACACCTCTGACTTAGGTTTTATTTCACATGTGGGTGTTGGCTCGACCGCTAAGGAAGCACAGTCTGTGTCCAGAACTGTGCTAAATTAAAACCCTCTTTGTTGAATCTCGAGAGCTGAAGGTCGTCAGCAGTTGTGTCACGACAGAAGTAGCTGACTGATGTTGGAAATATCAAGACATGATGGACTACAGCTCCCTGGCCTGAGGGTAGAGCACAGCTACTCGCTGCCTGGGACACTCACCCTTTAAAACTTGCTCTACCCACTCCAGTGAATTCACAAGCTGCGAGTCAATAGGAGGTTACAACCAGCAAATGTTTAAGCGACAAACACCTGCGTAGATGATCATAATAATTCAATCTACAAACACAAATCAATGAATTTCCCCTTTCATTTCATGACATTTTTGCTTTAAATTTACAGCAATGAAAGTGACACAAAGTGACAGTGGTGCATGATTTGTCTTGATTCATTCACTGTTCGAGATGATACGTGGTTAAACCACAACACAGTGAAACAACCCGATGACCAACTCTGTCAATATCTGTATAAACTGAAAATAAGAATATGACCTTTTCTTTCTTTCTTGCAGAGAGAGCGTAATAAAAGTCAATTTGCTCCTTCGTCTTTAAACGGAATTAACAGTATCTGCGTATCTTTTACCCAATCTCATGTCCATAATTCATGTATAGTTAATTGTGGACAACAGGTGTGTTTTGCATTGTGTTGTTATGTGTGAATGTAAAGCGACGTAAAGTATCATTTGTAGAGCCGGTGAGCTGGTGAGCTGTACTGTCGTTGGTGAGGAGGACAATAAAGACGAGTTCAAACTCTTTAAAGTCATTCTGATGTAGTTTGCTGACTGTTGTTAAGGCACAGTTTGAAAAACGCCAAAGAGAAACACAAAAAGTTGACATCTGCAAGCACCAAATACGAGGCTGCGTCGTTACATTCATGGGGAAAAGTCACGTTACAGAAACAGACACTTTGAAGCAGTTTTCAGCGATATCTAACGTCTAGAGGAGGACTGGGTTCGATGAAAACTCCTTCCTGCTGAATCTTAAAAACGTCAGCACTCCAAAACACAATGAAGACATAACTTTGACTATAACATACTTTTACAATGGCTAACATCAGGCTAACGTGCTTTGACACATAAGCCTTCATCAGAGCATCTGTTTTTGGCAGAGCAGCCAACCAGAGGAAGGTTATATGAGGAGGCGCACCTGCTATATGTTTTTCAATGCTTGCTCTGATTCTCATCAAGTGTGGTGTAGTCACAGGACTGACAGGCTGCTGCCTACAGCCAATTTAAAAAGATACCGGTGAATAATTCATATGCACTAAGCACCATTTAGATGGCACCTGTTGAATCTAATAATGATCATAAATTATGTGTGCACACTGTGAATGTATGTGCTCAGTATTCTGAACATGTTATGTTAGTTAGCAGGAAAAACAAAAAGAAAGTGCCACCTTAAATACGAATATGTGAAGTTTTTAATGAACATCTTGTATCGTGTCACTTCATGAATTCATTTAATGTAGTCCAGCCGTTTAACACGTAACCTGGCTGCATATCATTCAATACAGTCTGTATTTTTCAGTAAGTTTAATGTCACATCTTAATTCAATAACAACTGAAATGTTTGACAAACTAACAGAAGAGCAACTTTAAGACTTTAAGTAATCGTGATTAAACACGAGACGTACAGGGTCTTTCTCTTCTCGTTGTTTGCTCTTGTGAAATCAACGTCACCCTGTGTTAACACGCCTTTCTTCTTATTTCAGGCAGGAACTGTGATCTATGGCCACACGCTTTTCTCAATACAAACTTTTTGAGTACATGTGCGGGAACAATGAAGCTGGTGCTGAAATTAATAGGTACAACCTTGTAAAGTGTATTGAATTAGAAGCATCAGCGCGGCTGTCAGTCAGTGTTATGACGTCATCAGTGAGCGGCCTCGCACAGACCAAGCATCGGATGCTAAATAGGAAACACCCTCTTTAAACTGACCCCACACATTGTAAGTACAGGTGTCATACTTCATTTACAAACACTGTTTCCTTTTTCCTCCCAAAATTCTTCCAAACTTCACAGTATCCCTGTAATTAGCTAAGCCCTTAGCAACAGGCTAGATCAAGACAAACTATTTTTATAGTGCATCTATTGTTCTTCAGGAGCTTCAGTAAAACAATCAAGCCAAATGACATACACTAATGACTTGTCCCCCACGCCTTCTATTTTCAGCAATTATCAAAATACCATTATTCTAATGAGCGGATGTAAAAGATGCACAATTTCCAATAAAAGTTAATGGGGCAAAAGTGTTTTCCCAGATCTGCAAAACACAAGCTCACAAACACAGCTATATAATACAAAGAGGCCGTAAAGCACCTCTAAGCAGAGAAGTATTAAAATCATGCATTCACTATTTGTGAATTTGTGATTTCTTTTTTTTTTTTAAACTGTGTTTTCTGCTCTTCTGCATGTATGTCCTAAATCTGGAGGAGCAGCCATCTTCGATATGTGAAGAGATGCACAGTAATGACATGGTAACAGTCACTTCAGAGCTATTCCCTATATTTTGCCACAGGAAAACTCAGCAACAGATTTCAGCAGAATGACTCACAAATATCATTGTGTACAAACCTTGACTTGTAAATACCCTCGACAACAGAGCTTGAGTCCCCCCCCCCCCCCGGACAAGAAAACAAAACAAAAAACAGATGCAGTCGCAACACGTACCTCCAAAATCAGGCCTTAAACGGATGTCATATCCCTTCAGCAACTTGTCCACGGTGGTCTTGGCCACAGACATTCCGGTGCTTCCAGTGGAGGAGCTGAGGGCACAAACCACAAGTCTAAGAGCCATTTTAAAGACATAGACATTTTGTTTCTGCACAGCACACCTACTGTATGATGAAGCCTGCAAATTACCACTCCGCTTGACTCCCTGTTCTCAACATTGATGCCATGAATGCTACCTTTGAGGAGGAAGCCCTCGTCTCAACATGGGAACAGGGGAAGAAGACTTAGGATGCGTTAAACGACACATAAGTTCATGCATCCCAGTTCGTGTGAAGTGAGCATTAAGCTGTCACATTTTGTCTCTTTCACTCTCAACTTCAGTTTTAATCTCGCGTTCTTGCCTGTCAGCACCAAACAGCGAGAGGAAAACTTGAATCAAAACTGGACGTGATTCGACATCATTTTAAAAGCTCACTGACTCTTGAGTTGTTGTCATGATAAAGGTTGAAAAATGTGCCTTGTAGCCCCACCTACAGCGTGACCATCTGATCAGTGGAGCGGGTGTGATGAAGACACCCCTGTCAAACATTTTATTGATGCCAGTCTTTCAAAACAACGGCATTAAAAGTGGAAAATGTCACAGTTTCTCTGGCTGACCTGTTCAGGCAGGAGCCCAGACTTCATGTGCATGTATTTAAATAAGCTCAGGGTTATGACACAGCCTCCCATCATACTGTCAGAGGCCTCGCCGGTCTGAGCCCGGAGACAGACTGTCCCCAGGAGGAACATATAGTCTGCAGTATCTGACTGACACCTATAACAGTGGTACCACGACCTGCATCACCCGACCGGGAGCTGCTCTCCAGCTGAGGTTTCTTGTTACGTGGGGGGGTGAGGGGGTGGGGGGTGGGGGGTGGAGTGAGCGTAAGGGGAAGAAGTGGGTTAAAATTGCTCCCCTGATAGGAGCACTGGCCCTAGGCTCAGTCAGGGAAGCACTGTTCAATTAGCTCATAGGTAGTGCAGCTGTTCATCAAGCTGGCCAGTGCTCGGACTTGTGGGTCTGACACCTGAGAGCGTCATCGTGTGAGAACACCACTGACACCTGAACACACACACACGAGATCACGCCCGCTCATCTGTTGTTCAGGGAAATTATGACTGAATCAAAATGTCAGAAAGTGCGACCCGGTCCTCAGTGAGCACACACATCTCATAAGTGAGGCTGTGGGTTACTGCAGGCGGGGGAGAGTGGGCCAGGGGGATATATAGGCCATCAGTGCTTCGATCAACAAAACAATAAAGGGATTGATCAGGAGATTCTGATGATGATCATAAAGGCTTGTGCAGTAATTTACACTGTAAACATCACCAGGCCTACAAGAGCTTATTTAAATGTGACTGCTGCCTCCTGTCCTGAGAGCAGCAGCAGCTGATGACCTGCTGAGATTATTTTTCGATTTTGATTGATCTGGTTCCGGTCAATAAAATGGGCAATTAACATGATCATATGACTGGGAATATTACTTTAGGCTTCCAGAGAGGAAATATATAAGGTGGTTTGCAGGATCTATACAGTGGCTACAGCACTGTATAGATCCATGCATCTACTGCTTACCATAGCGTAATCAATCGATGATCGAATGACTGATCATCTGATCATGGGTGAGTCTGCTGTAGTCTGCTGAGGGCTGGCTTTTTAAGTAGGGTGATACTGAGTCGCCCCCAACCAATACACATGTATGTGTATCCCCATTTTGATATCGGGAGTAGGTTACGTTTCACAATAGGCTTGATACAGTGCACGTGCATGTTTTTACGCTCGCGCGCGCCACAGCGCCGTCTAATAGAGCATATATCGGCAGCATTGCCCCTAATAAGTAGGCCTGGGTACCCCGTTAATGCGATTTGCCAGATCTCAGCTTTTCATTGACCGGTAATCACAACTATTGGTGTGAAAAAAATATATATTTTTAATCCTGGCGACGTTTTCTTACCTTTGAACAAAGCATGCGAAGGACAAAGCCGCCAGAGCAGAGAAAATTCCACATAATTTATCTTCTTGACGACCCAACATCTCCACAAATCCTTGGATATAGTTTCTAATCCAACCAGTCCAGTGGTCCTCCCGAAAATGCACAAAGTAAAAACTGGCAATCAAAAAAATAATTGCCTTTTAAAAATGTCGAATAAAGTCGCCTACATCTACGCATGCGATGTCTTCATTAAAACAGGCTTCTCGATTTTTAAAAAAAAAATCTGGTAATTGGCCCCCGCTGTTTTCCCAGCTATGGAAATCCGTGCAGGTCACAGAGCCCCTCGACCAACACCAGAAGATCAGACATCTTGCTCGGGAAAGCAGCACACACAATAGTTTAGAAAGTGATGACAAGTATTCTTCCCCTTAAAAAAAAAAAAAAAAAACAAACACTGGCATGAATGACTGAGCAGCAGCCTCTTGGTGATCAAATTGGTGGATGAAATTTCCCAGTCCAAATCTGCAGAAGAGGCATGGTTCCAGCGAAGCTCCGGCGCCAGACTATTCCACAACGTGATGTTGTTAAAAGATATTTGAGGGGCTGAAGGGGAGCGGTGGGTTTAAAAAAAAGAAAAATGAAATCTTCATTCCCTTTTTTCCCCCGTTGCTGCTGCTGATGATGATGATGTAGATCAGCGCAAAGTCACTGAGGGGAAAATGCACATTGAAAAAGCACTGGGTAATATCTGATGCAGACGTCAGAGCAGGCTATATCACTCCTCTGGTGAAAAAATTAGATGCCGAGAAATATGGATGGCCCCTGATACGCCAATGCATGTATCACAGCGTCGGGTTCTCAAATCAAAGATGCAAACCCATCTGAAAAGTCCACTTGCCTCCAGTGTCCAGCGGTAAATGACGTTAATGTGCTCCGCTCGTCTTCTCCAAACACTGAACAAATGACAGAGAAGCAACAGTCCAAAGAGACATGATGAAGAAAGCTGCTCTCCTCTTTCCTCCCGCTTCTTTTTTTTCCTTCAGTTCTTAGTTGAAAATAAAATAATGTCCTGCTGGGGGGAGAAGGGGGGGACACCTAAGGTGAATTCCTTAGCGACAGCCTGTTCACGCGCTGAAATGTCTGTCTATTCTCTCTGAAACCCATTAGGATGCTGGGAGTGTGTGCCGGTGCGTTTTCATGTATTTCATCCACTTTGCTACATTTCTGAAACACAAACATACACACAGGGACACGCACGTACGCACCAACTCACTTACACACGCGCGCGTACACAACACAAACACGCGCAATCTTTTATTTATTTATTTATTTATTTATTTATTTATTTATTCTGATTTCATTCCTCCTCAGACGCCAGAACTCGCTCCTTTTGTATCTGAAACATAAACATCCTGACTGGAAATTGCAAACACCCGCACGTCACAATTCAAGAATCACACAGGCTTGTGTTATATACAGAGGAGGAGGTTTTCTTCAGGGATCTCTGTGCTGTCCAGTTGCTAAGCAACCCAGCCAGCACTGATGCAGTTGTGGTGATTCGAAGGCTATGCGCAAAGGCTCATTTAAAGGAGTAGACCCAATGCTGTCACCACTGTGGTGTCAGTGGGACAAAGCAAGCAGCAACTGATGGAGCATGGAGCCATCTCTGCTATGAATTTGGGTGGGAAGGAGGGGAGGCGGGTGGGGTGGGAGGCGCAATTTACAATAATGTATGTAAAAGAACTGCGGGGTCAGGGATATCACTCTCTCTACTTTTGCTTCATCATCATTGTTCTCCTCCTCCTCCTCCTCCTCATCATCATCATCACCATCATTGTTGTCAGGGCCACAAGCACTGTGACCAACAGCAGAGTCAATCAGTCCATAGCCTCACTTGTGTTTTTTAGTTTTGGAACATGTTATACCCAACAGGCAATTGTTGCTATTGAATATTCTCTGCTGTCCTCCATACCCAGAAATAAGGAGGATTCAGCTTGTCCCTCCCATGGATGATGTCACAGCACTGAATAAACAGGAGAGGAAGTGGCAGAGCAGGAAACAGTTAGTTCTGTTTTGTTTTCTGGTTTGGAAGATAGTGTCACCCGTACTTGAACCTCAATGTAAAACAAAAAGAGGATTAATTATGCATTTCTACCGTGGCTTTGCAAGAGAGATGGCACATGACCAAATTAACAGTGCTGTCTTCTTCAACCCCCCCCCCCCCCCCATTTATATGACTGGCATAATGTGCAAATCTTACATACAATGGCATTACAATTACATATTGCACATCATAGAGTAACACCATGGCTGGCCGTGACCTGGCACCCATGGGTGAGCAATAAATGTCACATGATCTGCAAGATTCAGACTGCACTGCTCATACTTGTTGCATCACAAGAGAGAGTAGTTACACTACATCTGTTGCAAAGTATCACACACTACAATCCTACAAGTTCATGTCTGACACTGGAAACAGAAGTTTGACAGAAAAGGGAAAGAAAAGAAATGAAATGAAAAGAAAGGTCCACTGACTAGCTTCCTAAGTGGTCAAATGATGAAGACAACTTTATGATTATATTATAGGCTATCATACGTATTATAACTTTTGCATGTCATATTATGTCATGTCATGCTATTATGTTATGTCATGTTATTTTATGCCATGTCATGTTATGTCATGTCATGTTATGTCATGCCATGTTATGTCATCTTATGTCATGTTATGTTATTTTATGCTATGTCATGTTATGCTGTCATGTTTTGACATGTTGTTATTTTATGCCATGTCATGTTATGTTGTCATGTCATGTTATGTCATGTTTTGTCATGTCATGTTATTTTATGCCATGACATGTTATGTCATATCATGTTATGTCATGTTATGCCTTGTTATGTCATGTCATGTTATGTGATGTCATGTTATGTCATGTTATGCCATGTTATGCCATGTTATGTCATGTCATGTTATGTCATGTTATGTCATGTTATGCCATGTTATGCCATGTTATTTCATGTCATGTTATGTTGTTATGTCATGTCATGTTATGTTGTTATTTTATGTTATGTCATGTTATGTTGTCATGTCATGTTATGTCATGCCATGTCATGTTATGCTGTCATGTTATGTCATGTCATGTTATGTCATGTTATGCCATGTTATGTCATGTCATGTTTTTATGTCATATTATGTTGTCATGTCATGTTATCTCATGTCATGTTATGCCGTGTTATGTTATGTCATGTCATGCCATGTCATGTTATGCTGTCATGTTATGTCATGTCATGTTATGCCATGTTATGTTATGTTGTCATGTTATGTCATGTTATGTCATGTTATGTCATGTCATGCCATGTCATGTTATGTTGTTATGTTATGTCATGTCATGTTATGTCATGTCATGTCGTTATGTCATATTATGTTGTCATGTCATGTTATGTCATGTCATGTTATGCCATGTTATGTTATGTTGTCATGTTATGTCATGTTATGTCATATTATGTTGTAAAGTTATGTCATGTCATGTTATGCCATGTTATGTTATGTTGTCATGTTATGTCATGTTATGTTATGTTGTTATGTCATTATGTTGTCATGTCATGTTATGCCATGTTATGTCATGTCATGTTGTTATGTCATGTTATGTTGTCATGTCATGTTATCTCATGTCATGTTATGTTATGTTATGCCATGTTATGTCATGTTATGTAATGTTATCTCATGTCATGTTATGGCATGTCATACCATGTTATGTTGTCATGTTATCTCATGTCATGTTATGTCATGTCATACCATGTTATGTTGTCATGTTATGTCATGTTATGTCATGTTATGCCATGTTATGTCATGTCATGTTTTTATGTCATATTATGTTGTCATGTCATGTTATCTCATGTCATGTTATGCCGTGTTATGTTATGTCATGTCATGCCATGTCATGTTATGTTGTCATGTTATGTCATGTTATGTCATGTTATGCCATGTTATGTCATGTGATGTTATGTCATGTCATGGCATGTTGTCATGTTATGTTATGTCATGTTAAGTTGTCATGTTATGTTAAGTTATGTGTTGTCATGTTATGCCATGTCATGTCATGTTGTCATGTTGTCATGTCATGTCATGTCATGTTATGTTATGTTATGTTATGTTATGTGATGTCATGGTGTCATGTTATGTGATGTTATGTTATGTCATGGCATATGATGGCATGTTGTCATGTTATGTTTTCATGTCATGTTATGTGATGTTATGTTGTCATGTTATGTGATGTCATGTTATGTGATGTTATATGATGTCATGTTGTCATGTTATGTGATATTATGTCATGTCATGGCATATCATGGCATGTTGTCATGTTATGTTATGTCATGTTATGTCATGTTAAAAATAAACAAAATAAAATAAAACAAATAAACATACTGTACATATTCAAATTCAACTTTTTTTCACACATACTTTCACACACTCATTATTCAGGGATTCAGGTGGGTTAGAAATGGAGGAGCTGTGTGTATTTTATTCTTTCCGCTAATGAGGTGTTTGAAATTTCTGAGAGTGAAACTTTTGATTAATTAATTTTCTAAAGGTTTTTCATTTAATCCTTTCCTGACATGATTTACTGTACTGATTAAATAGATACATCAAAACAATAGACATAAAAACAGCCTCTTGTTAGCACCATGGATCATCTCTGTATGTATTATTTCCCACTAGCAGATGTGGATCTTTGGGGTTAGCAGGGATTGAACGAATGTTTCCTTCACTTTATTCTGCATTATCACATAGCTAATTAAGTTAATTAGTTAAGCCAACCTTTAACATAATGCATGTTCAACACAACCCAACCCGTTCTGCTAATGAGTAAAGCAAAAATATTACAGTGTTGGAGCCCCATAGTATTCTCATTTTTTTAATCAGTCTATTCCTGCATGTCAAGGCAACAGTAATCGTGTGCTGCATTAATTGCTGAAAAAGCAGACTTGTCCATATGTATTCTTTGAAAGCAGTCCATTCCCCATAGGTTGCGTTGGTGAGAGCCACAGTGGAGCAGTGTCAAATACATAATCATGCCGGAACCTGTGTTGCTACATGGATCCT